TAGTAGTAGTAGTAGTAATACTACTAAGGATCATAACTGTCAACTTTTGCTGCTGCTGCTACTACTACTACTACTACTACTACTGACACTTTGGTTATAGTAATGTAGTCATGCAGTGGTAGTACAGGTAATGTAGTAGTAGAGTAATATGCTCACCCCATGAGATGGCAGAAATGATCGAAGCAAGATCAAATCAGACATTTGCACTAGCGCAAGGGTTCAGTCCTTCACCCCTCCTTAGCCCCAAGCTTTCCTTTGACACTCGCTTAATACCATACAGGGAATGGAAAATTACCGCATGACGTTAGGGCATGATGCAATAGCCAGGCCGGCAAAGCTGCTGTGCGGAATGGGCTGGAGATGGGCTTGGCCCTTATCCTTCATCTCTGACACTTTTCAAGCAGCTCTTGCAACGACGAATTTGTGCATCGAGCTGGTGGCAAGGAATGAGCGAGCAGACCTCCTACGAAGTGGCCGCTGCCACTGCTGCCGAGATGGCAGAGGCGCTCGTCCAGCAGCTTTCTTCCCTGGTGCATCGCAGGTCGCAGGGGGTATTGGAATAATGGGTACTTGGGGCTACCACCTTCAGGGCTAGTGCACTCAAGCGCAGCAGTTCCCACGATACGGACTGCAACAAAAGGGACCCCCAATTGTTGTAAAGCCCGCATTTTGCTGTTCTGCAGACATAGCATGAACTAGACAATTGGACCCGCAGAGCAACAATGACGATGCTTTCGATGCACGGCATCCTACTGAGAAAATAAAGATGTTGCTGAGCCACTGTTGTCAGGTATTTGCATGAATCCACACTTCTCTCATGTGCGTTTTGGTCCATGTGCTTCGTTCCATATATGGCTGTTTCCAAAAATGGTGCGTCAGGAATTCATGAAAGGGCGCATGTTTGACCCCTCCGATACATATCCCGATACATAATGTTGAAGTAGCATTAATAAAGGGGTGACAATAGCGTTTCGTTGCCGGCCGGGAAAAATCCCGGACAATCAAAGTTGCTTTCTAACAAGTTCGGAGCCCGAAAATACATAAACAAGTCCAAATCGTAATAGTAAAGGGGTGGCAATAGTATAATTGTCCGGCCGGGAACGTCGCGATTTGAATAGATTCCCTTCTACTTGTCCTACTAGTATTACGAACTGCACTACCTGGTCCTACCCATGTACCCGTCATTTATTGAGAGGGGGAGGGGTTTTTATTGTCACCTAAACATTACCCCAATACATACCTTGCACATACCTCCATACATACCCCGATGCATACCCCCACAACGTCCCCTTTGTCAAGAGCCCAGCACTACGAAACATACCCCAAAACATACCTCGAAACACACCCGGAAACATACCCCGGAACCTACCCCAATCCAAACATGTTTTTTAGCCGGAAAGACCCATATGGCTGTTGCTGCTGCTGTTATGCCATTTGCGTTGCTACTGTCGCTACTACCTGCTACCGAACCAAACCTCCTCCACTGCTGCTTCCGCTGCTGCTACTGCTACTGCTACTGCTACTGCTACTGCTGCTACTACTACTACTATTATTATTATTACTACTACTACTACTACGACTACTACGACTACGACGACGACGACGACAACAACAACAACAACAACTACAACAACTACAACGACAACAATTACAACAACAACAACAACAACAACAACAACTCCTACTACTTCTTCTTCTCCTCCTCCTACTACTACTACTACTACTACTACAACTACTACTACTACTACTACTATTGCTGCTATTCCTTTTTTCGTCGGTTTGCAGCAAAACAAAACAGTTTTGTCGGTACTAGCGCTCTTACTTTCATAAGTAAGCGAATAGCGGACACCATCACTATGACTTTGAGGATCCGCCCGCAGCATTTGCCTATGATTGATCGGGTTATTTGCTTCCATTTTTGATTTGTGTCCCAGGTGTTCGTCTGAGCACACTTGCCCCAAAACTGCAAAAACATCGCGTACGGGACTGCATCTGCTGACAAGAGCATCCATGCCTAAACCATAAACGGGTCCAAGCCCGTCTGCATGCGGCCACCAGAGCATCTATGCCTAAACCAGAACAGTGTGAAAGCCATGACAGCATTCCGCACCTTTGAAGCCAGGGTGCCTTACAAAGTGAGCTGGTGCCAGATGAGTTTTCGCAGCTTGGGCTCAGGCATGCGCTCAAAGATGCTCAAAGTGCATGCCTGCATTGTGGCTCACAGCAACTTTGGGCCCACATCCAACAAAACGACGTTTTCGTCCAGGAGCCAAGGCCTTCGAACAAGCACATAACACTGCGCTCGCTGGTGAACACGGTCATCTCTCCTCGCACATCGAGCCAATATGTTTCCATCAACAGTCCCCGACTCCAACAACGGAATTCCGGACTAACGATAACGAAATCGTATCTTTACAAAGCCATGAAACACTGGCTTGGCTCGCGTATTCCCACATTCGCCCCAGCAAATGCCGAGCAACCGCCCAGGGGGAACCCATTGCTAGTACTTGCATGAAGACTCGATTATGTTATTTTCGATTTCTATTATGGCTACTCCTACGGCATGCTTTCTACCATGATTTTAACAAGTCTGGTTTTTTCCTACTGCTTCTGGCATGGTACTCCTGCTGCGGCTCCTCCTCCTGCTGCTACGACTTCCTTACATTTCCTTATTACTCCCTTTGGATGCAGGTCCTGGCTTCTGCGGCCTGGAAGCGTCTCTCGGCCCCATCACATGGAAAAGTTGTTTAAGTCGAGTTTAAGGTTCACGGGGCTTTTTGTGCCGACCTTCAGGATGAGCATGGCTAAGCTAGCAGGGTTGTTCTGACAGAGTGCTTGAGTAGTAGAGTAGGACAGCGGTGGAGCAGAAACGACGTGGACTTTGACTTCAAGCTAACAATACTCTCATTAGCGTCTGAACGGGCCAGGGACAGGGACCTGCCAGCTTAAAAGATGTAGCCAGAATGCTTGCTTTTCTTCCAGGCTCGAGTTTTATGCGACTTGTTTGATTGTAAGCCATAGCAGCCGTTGGCTTGAAGCTGTGGATTCAAGAGGTTGCCTAGACCGCATTAAATTAGCAACCTTGATGTCTACTATCTGGCCACACAGCATTTGCAACTCAAGCAAAGCAAGTCCAGCTGTCGACGAGTGCGCAGCTTAGTGGCTGCACCCATGCGGCGTACCCATGATGGGGCGGGCTGCTGGGCGCTGGATTCCAGTGGTAGCGCTGCTTACGTTGCTATCCCCGCCAGGCTGGATTGTGAGCATTTGCTTTGGGCTAGCTGTTGGCTTACTGGTTCTTAGTAGGGAATAAGGGATTAGAATCCCTATACAATCCTTGTATAGTGCATGCCCTTACTCCCACAAGAACGAGCAAGTTTAGGCTAGCCACGGCGCAAACCTCTAACCAGTAACTAGCCCCATATTACCGCGTGAAACCCTGCTTCCATTTCATGTTCCATTTTCTTTCCAAATTAAGTTTTCCATTATATCAGGTATATTCCCTTATCCCCTGCTAAGAACCAGTAAGCTAAAACCTCCAAGCCGGGAGGTTGCTTCTTCGCACCTACGGGCCAGATTCCGCGACTGTCCACCAAGGGGGGCTTCCAGCTTTCGAGGCTTTCCCGTCACCATATGAGCTATAGTCTAAACTCCTTAAACGGAGTTATTTAGGGGACTAATTACTATTCATAAATTCATATGAGTTATAGCCTAAACTCCTTAAAAGGGGCTATATGTGGGATTCTATGGGGAAGTATTATAGGGCTCATTAAAGGGGAACAAGGAGTTGAGACTTAAGCTCACATCATGCTGCCTTGGGTTTTGGGTGCTTTAGGATTCCTTGACCTGCTGTGGATTCCATGTCCGCGGAAGGCTTGGTGTGGGCACATGGCAGTGGGGCAATAAGTTGCTTTGGGGGTACGACGAGAAGGACGACAGCGCCTTAAGAGAAGTGTGGCTTGGCTGAATTTCAGAAGCTTTTCTCCCTTAAGCCCTAAACCCTACGGTTTATATGGGGATTATATAGGGCTCACGTAGGGATTATCTAGGGTTTATATCGGGGCTATGTAGGAGTGCTACATTCCCTAAACCCTGGCATGTTGGAGGTTTGGTCCTGCATGGGGCTTTCCGAGGTTTCGAACCTTCACAGCTGGAGGCGCGAACTGGTTTGATACTGGCGACAGCTGCGTGGCAGATGCAGGGGCTTTACACACAGTCCTAGACATCTACACTCCCCCAAACCAACGTGGAAACCCATGTAGCCCCTTTTTTAAAGGGACTATAGTCTTTATAGGGCTTTTTTTGGGTTTCCATGTAAGTTTCCAGGAGGGTAGTGCAAGTCCAAACCATGGCCGGAAGGAATCTGTAATAGCAGTAATAATGTAGTAATATTGATAATAATAGTAGTAATACTAGTAATCGTAATTATAATGGTAAGAATAGTAGTTATAATCATAATCGTAATAATGATAGTAAGCCTTCAGTGCATGAAGTGGCATGTTGTGCTCGAGGCTATGGCACTGGCGAGCTGGAGGGGCGAGCTGAAATCCTTCTTGGACGCTTTAGCCGAGAGACCTTTGAAGAGACAGGCGGAGTTCTTGATAAGCCACCATGTGTGTGCTTGCATGCCTGGAGCCCAATGCCAATGCTTTTTCGTGTTCCAGGTTGGGAAAAGGTCCCAGCAAGAATGAGGCCATGGCAAAGTCAAGGATGCACTCAAATGCTTTGGCTCAAGCATACGGTGAAAATAATTAGCCTCGTCCTACCTCTTGAACTGTGCCAAAGTGTGTAAGCCACTATAAGCCAAAGCTTGTCTCAGGAAAGATCTTTAACAGCCGGGGCTTCTTTCCTTTTGAGATGGCGCGCCCAGCTTCAGCGCCATTCCGCGTCACCACCGTGCAGAGGTCTGTGGCCCGGAGGCCGATTCTCACTCGGGCGAGGACCGCGCCAGAGGTGTACGAGGTCCCCTTTGCTCGGGAGCTTTTCAGCGTGGAGGAGCCCTTTGCACCTATCGAAGATGTGACCCCGACCTCGCCAGTAACTGCAGCCATTGAAAGGCATCGAGCCGCGGAGCCCCAGGTTGCAGTGGTGCGCCGGGTGGCTTTGGGGCGGCCCGCCTCAGCTGGCGACCTCCGGGCATCCACAACCTCTGCAGGTCCTACACACGCCAGTCGGCCACAGCTTAGACGGGCGCAGACGGTGGAAACGGAGACAGCATCCGAGAGGGTGGATGTGCGACTGCGGCGATTGTCACAAGAGGAGTTCGACAGGCGAAGGGCTAGCGCCATTAGTTTCTTCAAGGAGTCGACAGCCATTAATCGGCTCAGCCGCTGCTCAGAGGCTTCTGCTGCTTTGGAAGCAGCACGGCGCCGGCGCGCCAGTGCAAAGGTGGTGGAGAACCCACAGAATGCGGAAGAGCCGGAGGCAGCACCTGCTGTCCCGGAAGCACCGCCACAACGCCGAAGCTTCGCTGAGCAGTTTGGATACGGGGTGATTCTCAAGACCACACCCACCCAACGACAGGCACAAGTCTTGCCGGAGCCGCCCAGGCCGAAGATGACCGGCGCTTTCATAGGTCTGCATGCTGGAGACACTGACCTGCTGCAACGCCTTGCGCGCCGACGCCGAGCAGCTTCGCTGGGTGCATGAAGAGAGCCGTGTCCTAAGACATAGGGCTCAAGCCCCGAAACGGGGAAGATGTGGTTGTTTCACTTGTTCCGGGCCAGACACCTCGCGCCCTTCTGGGGAATTGCACCTCCTGAGCCCATGCACAGAGAAGAAAAGACTGCGTGTGGCAGGGTCGTTGTCCGGCAGCTCAAGCTGGTTCAACTGAATAGACCAGTATATCATCATCACCTTGACATTTCGTGCAACATGTGCCAGAAAGGCCTGCCTCAAGATCAGGAGTGGACAGGAAGCACATAGCCAGTCAATCTTCCCCCCCAGCATTGATATAGACGTGAAGCAACTGGCCGCTGGCACCTGTTTTGAGCTCCCTGCTAACTTTGCCACAAGCTCGGCATCACCTTTGCAACAAGTGGGCAGGCGAGTCTGTGAGACTGGCGACCAAGCTTGCAGCATACCCCTGGAGGCCAGGGATTGCAAAGGCTGGGTTGCTGTTAGTTCAGTTTAGTTACCACAATGGTTATACATCGTAATTAATATGGTTGCCCATTGTAGTAATTGAATTTAAGTTCCCTTACAGCAACCCTCAAAGAGGCTGCTACTTGCTCACCATGGTCCTTTCTTTCAGCCCGCAGGCTGACACCAGACTCCATGGTGGAGGCCGTGCGCGCAAGCAACCAGCGTGTGGGCCGTACAGTGGACATTGCTCAGATGTGTGGCACCCAGAGCCTGGGTAGCTGTTAAGGAACTTAATTTAAGTCACTATATTGGGGAAACCCTATTATTTACTACATATACTCATTATGGTACCTTAATTCCAGTTCCTTAACAGCAACCAAAGAGCCACCAGTCTCCCTCAAGATCCCATTATGTAGCAGCAATGTAACACAGTAAGTACAGTCCCCCTTGAGTAGATAGAACATGGATTTGGATATATCATGATAAGATCCCCATATANNATATAATAACCCATATTCTATCTACACAAGGGGACTATATATCACTGCGATGTTTTCCTCAGATTTGTGGGTGGCCCCAGGCATTGGAGTCCACGTAGCTATGGCTTTGGCTTCCAAGAGGATGCCTTGTTGGAGGGTCTGTGCCGCTGCTCCGAAGCCCAAACAGTCTTGGTAGTTTCTCAAATTCTAACTTAAGAGCCTCCGGCTCAGTCCGCCGACCCAGTGGCGGAGAAAGCACGAAAGCCTAAACGCGAAACCTTGAGGGTTTTCAGCGGCTGGCACGAGACCAATAGATAGGCGCAACAAGACTAGTCC